AAAAAAAAAAAAAAAAAAAAAAAAATTAGCGCAGTGACACATGCCTGTAGTCCCAGCTACTCGAGAGGCTGGAGATGGGAGGATCTCTTGAGCCAGGGAGGTTGATCCCGCCAGCCACTGTACTCCAGGGTGGGTGACAGCGTGAGATCCTGTCTCAAATAAATAAATAAAATGCTGAAAAGGTTGTTGAAGGAATGGCAAGCCCCACTTGGCTGCAGCACAACTCTTTTGTGATGTAAGCAATATCGTAGGGTATTGCCATTTAGGATGCTTTGCTCCTTGCCTTAGATATGGAGTTGACGGAAAATCACGAATGAAAGGGTCTTTTGTCAGAAACCTGTGGGTTTATTGGCTCCCAAGATGGTTGTGTCTCGGTTCGTCTACGTGAAAGCACAGGACCCGAAGCAGTAGCCACAGCCTGCCTTAAAGTCTGCTTTGCCTCCCATCCTATCCCTTCATGTTTTCCAGAGAAATCTTTTTGAAAAGACCAGACAACATCCTACAGTTTGCCGCAGGTGAGTAAGGCAGCATCAGTTTTGGGTATCTGACAAAGCCAGCGCAGGGAGCATTACTGTGAGTTTACACCTGAATACGCCCAGGATTCTCCCTGCAGAGTCTGGGGTACTCCTTCATCTGATGTTCCCCAGGGGAGCTTTTTTTCAGCTTTTTCTTTCCTGTACCATCATTTCCTCAAAATGAGGACAGGTAAGAAGTGAGGCAGAACTTCCTCATAATGAGGATTAAGAATTTTGAGATTCCCAAAGGAGCATATTGTCAGCTTTTCCCTTGGGAGTCTTAAAGCTGGGTTCTCAACCCTAGCTGTACATTAGAATCACCTGGGGAGCTTTTAGAAATACTGATGCTCAGGCCCCACCCCCAGAGAATTTTATTTAATTAGTCTGGGGTGGGGCCTAGCATCCATAGCTTTAAAGACTCCCCTGGTGATTCTAATGGACGGGCTGCCCGAGATGCCTTAAGGTCAATGGTATTTAGAGGGAAAGAGATGGGTTGGATAATTTCTTCAGTCCTGTTAGTCCTGAGAATTGGTTACATCCCAGACCTCAAACCATTGCTAACAGAATCTCAGTACGCATTTGCTAGCACAGCAGATGCTGCCTCTGATTCACAGTATGCTGGGTGTATAAAAACCCTCATCTGGCGTCATCCTGCGAGAGCCTGGCTCTCCTCTGAGAGGGTATTCTCAGAGAAGGCGTGATAGCTCAGAGACAGGAGCTGGCAAGCTGAGCTGAGACAAGAATAATACTTGGCATTTATTTGGGCCCCAAGATGGGCCTGGAGCAGAAAACCCAGAGAATCCCTGAGCCCTCTGATGGCTCTCTGTGCGTCAGCAGGCGGGGGAGCAAACGGTGCGGCATGGGGTAGGTGGGGGTCGGGGGGTGGGGGCAGGCACAGCCTGGAGGGGCGGCAGCCAGCCTCTGCGAACCCTTCCTGGGAACGTTGGAGCTGGCAGACTCAACTGCTCGGTTGGGGGCAGTGACCGCTCATTTTACCATATTACACCGTAAAGCAGGGCCACCTTAGCAGTCCTGCTAGTACCAAGCCAGGCTAACTTTTTTTGGTGGAGTGAGCTGTCTCCTTCCCGGAGTAAGTCTTTTGCCTTTGGTTATAGATGATGTCTTTTGATTTTTATCCCAGACTACTTCACGGATCCAAGACTTCCCAACAAGATTCACATGCAGCTAATTAAAGACAAGAGAGTGGCTTAATTAGCAAAACCATGATGCTCAGCTGTTGGGAGAGACCAGACAGAAGCCAGCCTCGGGGTGGGTGTTAACCTCACTTACAGAGGCTCCTTTACTCTTGTGAAAATAAGCTCTGGTTTATTGGTCCAGGGTGTGAAATAAATCAAGTGGAGAATGTAAAGAGAAGTTTAATGCAAATGTTGAGTTTTCTTGATACTGTTTTGGGGAATTAGGGACTGTGAAGAGAGGCCCAGGGTTGATCTAGTTTGTCAGTAGCAGGAAGCTTCTTTTTTTTTTTTTTTTTTTTTTTTTTTTT